TGGAACTATTTAAATTCTTATCACCATCTAAGATTTTGTTTAGATTAATCAGGTCATCAAGTTTTATCCCAATAGTGTGCCATAGATGGGAAATGTCTCCTAGCAACCGTTGGAAGTCATTAAGAATCTGCAATGATCTCTCTTAATTTTTACTTTTGGGTTCTAATGTTTTGTAAGCCTATTTTACAGCCTAAATAATTAATAGAATCTTCTCTTTGTTTTTTTTTAGGATCAATATGTAATCCTCAACAAGACAAAATTCTCTTCACTTCTTTATTCTTTCTAAAGTTATCTACATTTGAATCAGATAGTAAAATGCCATCCATGTAATTGTAAACTATGGATTCATGGAATTGCTTACTTATCATTTCCCAATGGCTGAATTACAAAATATTGGCACAGGCTGGGGCTATTTAACATGCCCTCTGGGAGAATCTTCCATTGATATCTTTTAGCAGGCTGAGAATTATTATAAGTGGGCACTGTGAAGACAAATTTTTCTCTGTCTTCTTGTAAAGGTATAGTGAAGAAACAATCTTTTAAATCAGTAACTCTAAGAGGCCATCTTTAGGCTTTAGAGAAGACAGAGAAATTCCAGACTGGAGAGGGCCCATTGGCTGGATCACCTTATTAACAACTCTTACATCTATTACCATTCTCCATTTCCCAGATTTCTTTTTAACAACAAATACAGGAGAATTCCAAGGGTTGGTTGATTCTTAAATATGTTGAGCATTTAGTTGCTTCTGTACCAGCTGTTCTAAAGCCTGCAGTTTCTCTGTTGTTAAAAGTCATTCCTTAACCCAAACAGGTTTGTCTGTCAACCATTTTAAAGATAAGGCTGTTGGGGGCTGGAGAAATGGCTCAGTGGTTAAGAGCACTGACTGCTCTTCCAGAGGACCCGGGTTCAATTCTCAGCACCCACATGGCAGCTCACAACTGTCTGAAGATCCAGTTCCAGGGGATCTGACACCTTCATACCAATGCACATGAAATAAAAATAAATAAATCATAAAAAAAATTTAAAAAAAGACTGTTGGTGTCTTTGGAAGATCAGCAGCTGTTGTGCCCTATTCTTGTGCAACCCGAATAATTGGTGACTTTTCTTTTCTTTTCTTTTTTTTTAAAGGTTTTTCAAGACAGGGTTTCTTTATAGCTTTGGAGCCTGTCCTGAAACTAGCTCTTGTAGACTAGGCTGGCCTCGAACTCACAGAGATCTGCCTGCCTCTGCCTCCCGCGTGCTGGGATTAAAGGTGTGCTCCACCACCGCCTGGCTTGATGTAACATGAATAATAAAAACCCAGAGACAGATATTGGGGTTCTACCTGAAGATCAGAAAAGTAAAGCAACCAACCACCAGAGACCTTTTACCTCTACCAAGTCTTCAAACTGAAGGGGCCAGATCCTATCTCCACGAATCCTCAAACGCTACATCCCACTGAGTTCCTGTCTCTTCTCTTTATATTCCTCTCTCCTTCCAGCCATATTGCTCCTGTCTTCACTTTCCCTAATGCTGGGATTAAAAGCATGTGATTCCAAGTGCTAGGATCACCTTTGTGTGAGCTCTGTTTCTCTTTTAGACAGATTCAATCATATGTAGCCAACAGTGGTCTTGAACTCAACAGAGATTCATCTGCCTCTGTCCCCAAGTTCTGGGATTAAAAGTGTGTGCCACCACCCCCTGGCCTCTATGGCTGACTAGTACGGCTGCTTAGTCCTCTGAACTTTAGGCAAGTTTTATTTACTAAAACACAAATAATATACCACTATAAGGGACTGCCTCTGAGAATTTAATTTTCAGTACTATTCAAGGCAAGGGCTCTAGTTATATCCCTAGTCTAGGGATTGTCTTAGTTATGTTTCAGCACAGTGGGGGAGAGGGGAAGTTGAAAGGGGAAGTGACATAAACAGTGCATTAAGGAATGAGTTGTTGTTGTCCGTGAGCTTGAAGCCAGCCTGCTCTACATAGTAAGTTCCAGGTCACCCAGGACTAATAGTGAGACCCTGTCTAAAGAGCAGAGGGAGCCAGAACAACAAACGCAGCAAGGCAGCTGGTGAGATGGCTCGGTGGGTAAAGCCCTTGCTGTAAAGCCTGGCAAGCTGAGTTCAGTCCCCACACCTGATGGCAGGAGAAAGAAAACCTGCTCCCAAAGCTTGTTCTTTGGCCTCCTCCACTTACTCGCAGCAGCGTGTGTGCATCTGCATTTACACATAATAACTAAAATTTTAAATAAATGTAGACTACTTTAAGTATTCCTCACAACTTTATTCTTAAAGAAATTGGCCATCCGGTGGTCAAAAGCAGAAGAGGAGATATTAGGGGTAGGCTGTGGGTGACAGAAAGAAACTGTCCTGAGATGGAGGAAGAAGGATGAACCAAAGAAACCACTGGCCTGCTGTTTGTCTAGATGTCTTAAAACCCATCCAGCTTGCCTGCGTGCATAGGTGTTACAGAAGTCAGTTCCTGGCCATACTACGTCCATTTTGTAATGTTACTTGTAGCTACATTACAATATTCATCTTCCTATCTGGCTGACTCAATTTTCTATATTTATTTCAATATTCTAACTTACCTAAAAGAGTCTCTATTCATGTTTTTGGGTAGTATGGGAGACTGGCCTCTTCTCTTTCATTATAAAAATAATTTTACAAAATAAAAGATAGTGAGCATTACACTCAACCTCATTCCAAATTCTCTCAGGGTATTTACTGATATTTATGATACATCTTTATACAGTTGTGGTCAGGATCTATATACTTATCTTAATCTTATTTTCTACTTTAATGAGGGCACCTATTTGTCATAGTAGGTCAATACAAAGCATTTCATCTTAATTACCTATCTTGAGTCTTTCTGACTTAATTGATTCTGATATTCATAAGAAGCACAGTTCATCTGTGTCCATTCTGTCAGTGTAGACCATCTGTTCCTCCTCAAAATGATGTTCCACTATGTTTCAATAAATGTACCAAAGCTAACTTCATGAGGTAGAGGCCATAAAGTGAGTGCTCCCCAGTAGTCCCAAGAGCTTGTCCTGTTGTTTTTGGAGACAGGGTATTGTGTAGCCCAGCTGACCTCAAACTCCCTGTGCAGCCAAAGATGATCTTGAACTGATCCTCCTGCGTTCTGGGATTAAGGCATGTGCTACCATTCAGTTCCTAGAATTCAGTTCCTAGAGCTCACAAGGTGGAAGAGAACACTTGCGCAGGTCGTCTCTCTGACCTCCATGCTTGTACACAGAGTGTGCACCCATGCACTTGAGCATAAACACAAATAAATAAATGAATGTAGAAAAAAAGATTAGGGAACAGCAAGATGGTTGAGCAGGTGAGGACGCTTGCTATGCAGGTCTGATGACTTCAAGATGGAAGGAGATGATCTGAGTCTTCAAAATTATCCTGCGCTCCAAACAGGTGTATGCACGCATGTGCCTGCTCTCATACACACATACACCCACTTCATACACATATGGAGCGTCTTAGGATTTTTCATAACAAAACCATAGTAACTTTTAGAAAAAGTTAACCATCAGGAGTTCATCTGAATCTTGCCTCCCTCGTGCGTATGCGTGCCTGGTAATGACTGCACCGAATGAACTAGAAATACTTTCCTTTGGCCCAACAATAGGAAGCTGGTCAAACCAAGTCAACCTTTTAAAGTATAAGCGATGTAAATTCTTTTACTACTTCTAATGCACACCGCTGTTGTTTAACGTGTTTTAAAAGGGACGCAATAGGTAAAGTGTCCGATGATGAGCATATGGGAATGCAACTAGCTAGGCTTTCAAATTGTTTTATGCGAACAAATCCATTCTAAAATATTATTACAGGGTTGGAACTGCAGTTCAGAGACATAGTTCTGACGTAACATATAAAAGGCTCCCGGTTTACTCGTCAGCAACGCAAAAGTTACAGTAATAAGTTTTTCAAAGTTACAGTGGATCCCTAGTGTAAATAGTATGCACTGTCATTAGTCCCAGCTGCTGCAAGCCCACCAGAGGGCGCTCGTCCTCCGTCGATTTAATCCCTAGCCTCTCATTAGTGGCTGGAAATTCAGGTAAAAGTCATCTTTCAGAGTCGGGGAGTCTTCCACTTTTAATGCACCAGAACTTACTTAGAGCCAGCCGCGGCGGGTAGAGAGTCCTAAACCACAATGGTGAGTTAGGCGTGGTTTCTACTAGAAGCACAATGTGTAGCCAAGATTAACACAAACCGGTAACGATGAGGTGGAAGGAACGCCTAGGACCCTGAGGCTGGCGAGTTTGAAAGTGGCTTCTGGCGCTGGAAGCTCACGGTTCAGTTACATCTGCTGGACTACTCCCCCTCTACCTCGGGAGACGATAGCCGCCCCAAGGTGTGCTGTCAGTCACGGCTAGGGACCTCGAGAGTGCGCCCATCACTCCACTAGGCAAGCTCTCCTCGCGCCTCTTCCAGAACACTCTGCAGTCCTTGGTTCCCTTCCGCCAAGGGACTGCCTAGAACTACCGTCAACATCTGCCTGTTCCCGTTCCTTTCGGGCTTAAAACCCGCGGGCTTTTCCTTCAGCACGCCTAGTTTCACGTTCCGATTCTCGCGACTGTTCCGAAACCTCGCGTGACACTGGCTTCCCGTCTCCTCGGAGTTTGGGACTGTCAGCGTACAGTTCTCGTCCACCTTCGTCAGAAACCCTCTGGCCAGGAGCAACATCTGTGCGGACGGAACGGTCCTTTTCGGAGGGCTTGGTCGAGCTCACATGGGCGAGAGAGCAACTTCAGTCCGCAATAGCCACTGGGCGCCGCGGGGCCCGTGCGCACGCGCAGTCGGAGCTTGTGCCGCATCCTGGGCGGGGCCTAGACAAGTCCCGCCCCTCTCTTGCCCCAAACTAGGTTTTATTCTCCCCCGCCCCCCGTGGAGTGCGACTTCTGGAAGATGTTTGGGGGCCGGCAGGGGCGGAGCCTGCCTTTCTCAGGGTGGTGGGCGGGCCTCCGGGGATGCTCCGCTTCCTGTCCCCAGCCCAAAGTGCCACCGTGGCGTTGGTGGCCGTCTTCAGGCTGAACGCTTCTGGCCCTGCGAGCCTCAAATTTGCAACCTGTAATCCGGACCCTGAGAGACGCCCTACCAGGAGTCGCCCGTCGGCCTCTCTGCGGCCGCTAGCCAGTTCCGGCCTCTAATCACAGTGCTCCTCGCGGGTCCAAGCATCTGCCCTAAAGTGGGAGGGAGGTGACCAGGTGTGGGATGGCAGATGGAAACGCTTATAGCTGCGCCCCGGTGGAGAAACTGGGTGGGCACACTGTCCCGGAGGAAGCCAGCCCTGGGTCTGCCCTCCAGAGGCACCCAAACATCAACGTAAAATTTCTTAGCAACAGAACCCCTTCCTTCTTCCCATTATGCATGCAGCTGTTAGCCGCTCACAGGAACTAAATCAGATGAGACAGGACCTAGGGGTTCAGCCAACAGTTTGAGCTCTTCTGCCATTCCCACCCCTACTCTTCGTCCCTAGCTCTCACACCCTTGCTTTCCCAGCTTCGGTGTCCGGTTGCGGCTGCTCTGTGCGCTCACTGTGACTTTGGGCTAGGGTGGAAGTAAAAAGCACAGGTAGGGTCCCTGTAGGCGCCTGGCTAAAACTGTCAGTCTCAGAACCTGGGAAGAAGGCGGGTATTCTAGGGGCGGGGAGAGGGGGCGGAGGAGCTTCTCTTTGAATCTTAGTCTGTGGCTGCCAGAGATTCCCGAAGAAAGCAGAGGTGGTTAGCGGGTCTGGCTGGCCGTGCGTGCATCTCTTTCCGTTCCCCTGTCGGTTCTTTCGGATTGGAAATCGAAATCACAGCTGTTACGAAGGCACAAGGTGAGTCACTGGACTCCCACATCATCATCACTCAACCTGGACTTACTTCATGTGTAGTTTTATACACCTCGGGTAATGGTGCATCAAAGTTGGGTGTTTTATGGAGATGGTTCTTGTGTGTGCGCGCATGTGTGCGTGTTTGTGCATGTGTGTAAACATTCGTGCGTGTTAGGGACCATATCCTAAGCTTTATTACCCCTTCTCTCTGCCTTCACTCTCTATCCCCCAAAACCAGGTCAATCAATTTCCAGGGAGTAACCAGGCCTCTTTGGTGGGGCTTCTGGTTGGCTCCAAGATAGCAGAGGAAGCGGCAATGTTAGAAATAAGCTTTTGTACGAGGCTGGTCTTTCCGAATTGGCTTTATTTCTGACCTCCGGACCTGGCTTCCCTCTCCTGGCAGGGTGCCACCTACGCGCTGATGCCCCGAATGCTCACAGGGCTTCCAGCTAACCATGCTGCACCAACCCTGGCGCTGCCCCTGCTACTGTTACTGCTGGTGCTGTGGACCCCGCTCCCCAATAGCGCGAGGCGGTCCACAGGCACTGATTACTTGCGGCGAGGCTGGCTGCGGTTACTAGCCGAGGGCGAGGGCTGTGCTCCCTGCCGGCCGGAAGAGTGCGCTGCGCCACGGGGCTGCCTAGCAGGCCGGGTGCAGGATGCGTGCGGCTGCTGCTGGGAATGCGCCAACCTGGAGGGCCAGCTCTGCGATCTGGACCCGAGCGCCAACTTCTACGGGCGCTGTGGCGAGCAGCTCGAGTGCCTGCTGGACGCGGGCGGTGACCTGAGCCGAGGAGAGGTGCCGGAGCCACTGTGTGTCTGTCGCTCGCAGCGCCCACTCTGTGGTTCCGACGGCCGCACCTACGCGCAGATCTGCCGCCTGCAGGAGGCCGCCCGCGCTCGGCCTGATGCTAACCTCACTGTGGTGCATCCAGGGCCCTGCGAATCCGGTACGCAAACCCAGGGCTCTTTGTACCAGGACTCGCACTTCCTAAAGTCACCGATCCCCGACAGCTTTGGTCAGCAGAGTGAAAAGATGAGAGAGCCCTAGAGCCTCAAAGGCTGCCAACTAAAACGCAGGTCGAGATCTGTTGCAGGTTTGATGTAATGAGCTACTGAGAACCCTATCCAGACTGGCAGGGACCGATCTCGGAGGGAAAAGGCACATAGCCAATAGCTGGGTTAGAAATGAAAAGACTCCCCCCCTCCCCCCCGCCGAAGATTTTGCCCAGTCTGCTGGAGAGGGATTCCTGTGAGACGCAGCCTATTAACCCAAGGCCCCGCCTACCCCTTTTCTCTTGCATTTAGGGATTAGTGAAAGGAAGAGGGCTTCTTGCTTCTCTCGCCCCTCATCCTTGGGCTTGGGCTTGGGGGATGTTCAAGGCTGAGGTTTTCTTTGGCGGCTCTCACTTCCTCAGCCTCTACCTAACCAAATCTTGTTGGGCTGGAGTAGCAGGGAAAACAAACGTGCCACCTGGGGGTCCCAGCAGTTTCCCCGGTGCAGCCAGGTGGTTTCAGGTTCCCTGCCTCGGCACTAGTCCCACCTCCGCCTGCTCGGAGCCCAGACCGTGTCACGTTCTCACGACATTTGGAATGTGGCTGCACTTCAGGCCTTTGGGAACTGGGCCCGGTTAGAAAAAGGGGAAGGAGGGAGAGCGGTGTTGGTTACAGAGCCCGCAGGAAAGGGGCCCCAGGGTGGAATGAGGACAGGGGAGCAGCCTAGGACAGTGTGCGATTGCTCAGCTAAGCTATGGGTCTGAAGGCATGTTTGTGCAATATACACACTGCTTTGTGTACCTGTGCGTCTCTGTACCTGCTTTTGTGTACTCTCGTGTGTATCTGCCCCTATATTTGTCTCTGTCATGTCTTATGGCATGTTTTCTTTGCAGATGTGTGTTGACCTCAGCATGAGTTGTGTTCTGCCCTAAACATAGCCGCATGAATTTGTAAATTGTGTTCTTGCTGAGCTGGATACAACTTCCTGTTCTCAAGCCTCGCCCTTCCCTTCCCTGCTCCAGAACCCCAGATCGTGTCGCAGCCCCACAATATTTGGAATGTGACTGGACAGGATGTCATCTTTGGCTGTGAGGTGTTTGCCTATCCCATGGCCTCTATTGAGTGGAGGAAAGATGGCTTGGACATCCAGCTGCCAGGGGATGACCCCCATATCTCTGTACAGGTAGGAGCAGGGAGCAGGGGGCGTACTCCTGGAAAACCTAAGGCTTCCCCAAATGACCTTGCTGAAACACATCTGGTTCCAGTTTAGGGGTGGACCTCAGAAATTTGAGGTGACCGGCTGGCTACAGATTCAGGCTTTACGTCCTAGTGATGAGGGCACCTACCGCTGCCTTGCCCGCAATGCCCTGGGCCAAGTCGAAGCCTCTGCTACCCTGACAGTGCTCACACCAGGTAAGGGACCCCTGAGCTCTGAGCTCTGGACACCGGGAGGATGGGGTGTTTTAGGACCCTTGACTTTGTGGAAGGAACAATCTGCATGCGAATGCTGTGCCCAGCGAGCAAAGCCTTCCCACACCGATGTGTTTGCATCACCAGGGTCCCTTCTCATCTTTCTCATATGTTTGCAGACCAGCTGAACGCCACAGGATTCTCCCAGCTGCAATCAATGAAGTTGGCTCCCGAGGAAGAGGCAGACAATGAAGAGCTGGGGGACTACTACTAGGTCCAGCTCTCTGATTTGTGGACGTGGGTGTGTGCATATAGTAGCTACCCCTGCTGTGGAGAAGCCACGGAGAAGACAGGACAGGGCGAGCAGGGTCCTTTCATGGACTGATTAACGCTCATTGTAGCCTCAGTTTCCCTTTCCTCAGAACTCATCTCCCAGAAACTTCCCACCTAGGGCACTTAGTAACCATAGTCCTTTCTGCGTGAGCACAGTAGAACTGATTTAGCTCAGTGCAGCGGGAAGGCTAGGCCGGCTTCTTGTCTTGTGCCACTCTAGTGGACAAAGCCCACCCAGCACTGACTAGACACAGTGGGCACCAATATAAAAAAAAAAAAACAAAACAGACAAACCGAGCCACACTGCTGCAAACAGTTCTTACAGATGTGCAAATGGAGACCAGACAGCGCTGAGTGGTCCCCTACTTCAACAGGATTCTGGCTTGTAGTGATTGCAAACCCTAAACACAGGCCTGTTCTATGAGGGAAGGCTTGAACTCAGGCCTATACTGCCCTCTCCCGTTCTCAAATGCGGGAGCTAGAGCCTCTGGTTGGAGGGAGGGTGGAAGTTATCCCTGTCCCCCACAAATCCCACCCCTAGTCCCCGTTGGTGTAGGAATAGGTTACCTGTTTCCTAGTCCTTATTCTTGTCTCCAGGAGGAGTAGGGAACCAGGTCTATGTGAGTGGAACCCCAGTAGGAATGCTTAAACTGAATGGTTGGGGAACCCGTGTTAGCCACACCCTTCCTCTGCTCCCTTCCCATTTCCCAGTTGAACCCAAAGTCATAGTAACCCTATTTCTAACTGTCCCATTTGTGACCTGTCTTATCTGATTTGAGGTCCTTAACAAAAGCGCTCTTTGGCCTAAATCTCTCCTATTCTCTGTACCTAGCCTGGGGACACTGGGGGGGGGGGGGTTATGAAATTGCCTAAGGATAGGTTGGAGTTAGTCATCAAGCCAAGATGTGGTGTGTGGAAAGCAACGACCTCCTACGCGCCTGGGTTCCGCCCGGAGCTGGCGCCACCGCGGGGAGGGACGGCTCTTGGCTCAGTGTCTGCGTTTGCTTTGTGGAACCCAACTCAGGCCGCTGAGCCCCCTGGGAGGGGCGTGGCCTGGAACCCCATTCTCGGGGCCCCGGCTACCCTTGGTCAAGTTTGCACTGTATCTTCAAATGTCTTTGCCGATTCTCACGATGGTCCCCAGTAATCGTACTCTGTTGCTTGGGCGGAGCACTTGCAGCGAACTGCAAGGAAATTGGAGAGTGGAAGAGACTGGGTCGAGCCGGTGGTGGGGGGCCTCTTGCTGTGTGTTCTCAAGAACGCCCGTTCCACCCTGCCAAAAGGGACCTGGGTCTGGGTCCCAGAGTCCACCGTAGCTTGTTCTTTGCTCTATGGGGGCTCCAAGGTGCCCCTGTGGCTTGCTTGTCCCCTCTCACCCACCTGCAGAACACGGGCTGGCTGGGTCTCCGCCCAAGCCCGAATCTGTCGTGTCGTCAGCCCTCAGTTTCCCCTTCTGCCGCCTTGAGGGTCTAGACCTCGACGCCTGGAGTGGAAGCACGCGCTGCGGCCCACCGCCTTCATCCTCCCCGCACCCCGCCTTTGCTGCAGAAGACCGGGTTTAATAATGTCGCCGGAAAGTGACACGCGATTTATTATTAAAGTAATGCGGGCGCGGGGACGGGAAAGGTTTAATAAACGCGCTGAGATGCCTAGGATTATTCACCGCAAATAAATGAGAGCGCGGGCGGTGTTTTAATAAATAATTTCCCGCGGCTCCCGAGGGAGGAAAGGGGCGGAGGATGGGGGAGCTGAGCGGCTGCGGGCACTCCCGGCTCCGCAGCCCCACGGGTTTCTAAGCCTACTTCAATAGACGGCTCACAGCCGCGGTGTGCTGTTCCTGGAGAGCCGAACCAGAGAGGCCCAGGCCTGGAGATGGGAGATGTTCTTCGCAGCATCCCTACCCGCAGCGCCCACCTCTGAGACTTTAAGTTGTTTGCGCAAGAAGTAGCAGATGAGTTCCATTTTGCGCGCCCGGAGGTTGGGAGTCAGGCCGGTAGGATTAATATGAATCAGATCCTTCACAAACTTGTCCTGGCCTTCGATCTTTAGGGTGGTCTGTTCTCTTGCTTTTGGCTAACCCTGGCTGCGTTTCTTCTCCGTTCAGGGCAGGGTGTATGGAGAAAACTCTGTACAGGGGTGTGTGTGTGTGTGTGTGTGTGTGTGTGTGTGTGTGACGTGGGTGTGCTAAAGGCACCGACTCCATCTCTATCTTTGGAGTGGTTGTAACGCAGACGCTGCTTTTGACTACTTCTGCTTAATAAGGCTCTAAGGGCTCTCTCTCTCTTTCTCTCTCTCTCTCTCTCACACACACACACACACACACACACACATACACACACACGTGTCGATCTGAGTACTGGACAGAACTGAAGATTGCACGGGGAATCCGCCCATCCAATAGAACTTGATTTCTGAAGAGACCAAAATTGCAGACTTTGGCGACCAAGCACGCGCTCACAACACAGATGAAGGTGATGGGCACTGAATCTGTACTAATACAGAGACTGGTGTCTTTAGTGAAGAAAAGCGACCTCTCTGGCAAGTCTTAGGAGTACAGGCGCTGTGGAAAGGCTGCCATCTAGTGGATATTTCTGGGATTTTAGCCGGTCCTGGGTTAAGGGGCCTTAAGAGTTTCCATTAAACTAGAAAAATTAGTGTACAAAAACGCTTCACGGGAGGGCTGGAGCGATGGCTCAGAGATTGAGACCACTAGCTGCTCTTCCAGAGTCCAAAGGTTCAATTCCCAGTCTCGCCGGGTGACAACTCATAACTGTTTCTAATCCCAGTTTCAGGGATCCACACCCTCGTACATAGATGCAGGTAAAATACCAATGAACATAAAATAAAATAAATAATTCTACTTAAAAAAGATTTATGAAGGTGTGGTGGAGCATGCCTTTAATCCCAACAAAGGCAAATCTCTGTGAGTTTGAGGCCAGCTTGCTTTATATAGTAAGACCCTGTCTTAAAAAGTAAAAATAAATAAACAAGTATGTATGTGTGACATGTGTGTAGCATTGAGCAGTGTAGACATATTTGTGTGCATAAGCATTGCATATATGGATCTATTATTATGCATAAGGCATTTCTTTGCAAATACATGTTTGTTAAGTATCATTATTTCTATGAGCATCTGTTATATACCAGGACTTATTAGAACTGGGACTATATTATGGGGGAAAATAGTCTTTTTCTTATGGAGTTTACATTCTGGTTTAAGACATGTGCAAACATATGCATACTTACATGGATTAAATATGACTGTACTTTCAGGATTATGTGCACAGTACATGTAACTGTCTGCACATGTAATGTGTGAAGGGCAGACAGGCTCCACTCTGGTGGGCCAGAAAAGTCTCTGGATTCAAAAACTCAGATCCTGGGCCAGTGAGATGGCTTAGACAGTAAAGGTGTTTGCTGCCAAGCCTGATGACCTGGGATTCATCCCCGGAATCCATGGGAAGCAAACTCCACATAATTTACCTTGACATGCGGCATTCACCCCTGCTCACAAACATCGTGCACACATACAAGAATAATTAATTGATTTTAGGAACATGGGTCCTGGGACTGGAGAGGTTAAAAGAACTGCTGCTCCGGAGGAGGACCCAGGCCTGGTTCCTAGCATCCATTGGGACTCACACACATGTATGACTCCAGCTCCAGGGGTTACATCTGCTCTCTTCTGGCCTCCATGGGCACTGCATGAACATGGTGCGATTACATATGCAGTCAAATACCCATACATATGAAATAAAAATACATAAAACCAAACCAAAACAGAGGTTCTGTCACCTAGAACTCCATCCTAAATCCGCAGGAGGCAGAGATGTACCGAAGACAGATCAATTACTTCAGAACATATTCAAGTGTTTCCTTAGCCTGCAGAGTGACCAAATCCCCCACCCCGACATTTAAGTATTATTTTAAAAATATGTGTATGAGTATTTTGCCTGTATGTATGTCAGTACACCATGTGCACGCCTGGTTCCCCAGGAGGTCAGAAGTGGGAATCAGATGCCCTGAGACTGGAGTTACAGATGAGTGGCCCATGGGTGCTGAGCAGAATCCAGGTCCTCCGGAAGAGCAGTGCGTGCTCTTACCTGCTGAGCCATCTCTCCAGCGCCCCCATTCTTTCTTAAGATGAAACCTATGGAAGTCTATTTGGTGAAACATTTGTTCAGAGCACAGCTCACTTCTTCTCAAGAATGGGTCCCAGGCGGGGGGTGGGCTTGAGGAGAGTGTGGGGGTCATTTAGAGACTGACAGGGATCAGGCAGGAAAGACATTAAGCTCTGGAAGTCAGGAGGGGAACACTTGGAGAGGGATGGGGCAGTTGGATCAAGAAGGGCCTGAAGGAAGAAATGAGGCCAAGTTCAGGGATGAAGCTAAATTAGGGGAACAGAGAGAGATGCTCTAGTGTCAGGGGTATGGGTGCTGAGCAGAGTCTGGAAACCAGCTCCGACAAGTCACCCTCCCGTCTTCTCACCATTTCCTTTCCCCTTGAGGGGCCCCCTAACTCTCTCTAACCTTTGCTGTACTCAAGCTGGGATCCAGAAGTACTAGATGCAGAAGAGGAGAGAGGCTTGGGGCTTAGCCTAAATTAGGTGACTCACTGGTGGGTAAGGTGGAGCAGGCTCTCAACACCAGCGTTCCATGAAACATTGTCCCAACTCCTGGGTCATTCCCTACCATGTTGTCATTACAATTCTGGTCTAAGCTCAACTCAGGGAACTCAGACAAGGGTGGGACATGGACCTGGAAGAGAACATAATCCTCATGAGCACACTCCTAGGGCTGAATGATACTTTCTGCTACCTCTTCCTTCTTCCTTTCTACAAAGATGCTGTCAAGGCCCAGGGTCTTCAGGGCTACCGGAGTCTCTGTGGGAGCAGACATGCCCCCTCTCTTCTCACCTACCCTTGCTGGATTATTTTGCCCTAAACCAGAGTTTTTGTCTCCTCATTGCTGTTCTTCCACGTAGTCCTTCCTCTTCCCAGGGCTGAGGTCTTTGGGGTGGGGGTGGGTGTGAAGGAGGAAGAGGACAGGGTCTCACTGAGTAGCCTTGGTTGTCCTAGAATTCACTATGTAAACCGGACTGGCCTTGATTCACCAAGATCTGCTGGGGTCTGCCTCTGGGATTACAGGTCGGGGGCCACCACACCCAGTCTGAGCCTTTAGACCTTTGCCTGGGTTTTCCCCTCAAAGGTCAGGGGGGATTGCAGATGCAGTCTGGATTTATTCTTCACATTTTCCCTGCCATCCAGGCAACTGAAGTCTCCCAGAACAGAGTGGATAGTTATGAGACATAAACTTTAGGTCAGCTGGATCCCGCAACTAAGTTTCATCTCACCCAAAGAATGCATGGCTGAGGACTCTAGGGGCAATGGCTTCTGTCTCTCGTCTGTTCCCTGTCCTAGGTAACTGAAACGGGGCAGAAGGTCCCATAGTTCTTGGCTAAGCTGGTCTCTGGGTTCTAACTTGGGTTTCTCTAGAGCTCCTGCCCCTCCCCCACTGTGTACACTAGCATTAGAGAGGCTGAATTCTGGGACAGAAGCAGGGATCTCCAAGGGCACAGGCTCCGAAGGCTAGAGATGGTTCCTAGGAGCAGAGCTGGGGGCTCTAAGGAAGAGCTGGAGAGCGGTCAACGGGTCATCTAATGGGCCTGAGCCTCAGTTCTACCGCTTTTTAGTTCATACCTTGGGACAGCTCCTTTTTTTTCTTAAAGCATTAAAAAAAAAAAAGAGTGTGTGTGTGTGTGTGTGTGTGTGTGTGTGTGTGTGTGTGCGTGCGTGCATGAGCATGCAGTTGCTTGTAGAGGCCCAAAGAAGCATCAGATTCCCTGGAGTTACAGGCAGTTGCAAGCCTTCCCTTGAGTGCTGGGAACAGAATTCGGATCCTCTGGAAGAGGAGCAAGTACTCTTACTGTCTGAGCCATCTCCCCAGCCTTCTTCAGCTTCCAGTTTCACCTTTCTTCTTCTGTGCCATCTTCTGCGACATAATGACACTAGTTCACAGGCACTAGGTAAGTGTCTCATAAAGGGTCAACCTTATCCAGGTTAGTTCTAGGCACTGATTGCTGAAAGGGGCTGGGTGCTCAGCCTAGGCTCTCCTTTAAAGGACAATGCAACTTTGTGCCTGCCTGGAGGAGCCTTAGATGAAGGGGACCAGCCAAGGCAAGGTAGGGATGCACAGGGACCTGACTTCCAGAGAACTTAGTGGATCACCCCTACCCCCATCCCTCTACAGGGAGCCCCTGTCAAAACTCAGGGCTCTAGCTCTGGCTTGTGGGGCAGGGCATCCCCCAACCTCACCTCCATCCATCTCTTTTATCTGGGCTGCTGAAGGGCTGGAGCGCCAATGGGGCCTCTGATGGGGAACAGATACAGCCCAGGCGGAAGCTGCCAGAACTGGCTCTAAGCTGGAACTGAGGACAGGGCCAGGGGTCAGTGAAGACAGATAAAGCTCAGAGCAGCTGGAGGCTCAGGGGACCCTCAAGGAGGCATAGCAGGGACTGAGGGCAGGTTGCATCCTGGGAGGAGGCAGGGCCGGAAGCCTCTGATGAGGACCAGTGGCCATCAAGGGCTTCAGATGGCCAGACAAGGCCTTTGATGACTCTTTGGAAGGAGGGGAAGGGAGTAAAGTCCCCTCTGGAG